TGGCAGTCTGTTGCCCACAGCACATTGCCTGGCAGGGGGACCCAGAGGCACTCTGCTTCGGCTCAGCCCGGGGTCCCCGGCTGCACCCCGAGCCGGGCCTGGCTGCATGCTGAATGTGGGACCCTGGGGCCGGTCCCCTCTGCTCCCCGCCCCAGCTCTGCAAGGGCTGCCCTGGCACATGCTGCCCCCGTACCCGGACAATCACTCTCCTCCCCCAGGTGAAAAAGAGAGTGAAGATTAGAGACCAGTATTGGACCCCCGAGGAGCCCCCTGCGGACAGCCAGGAGCCAGGCACCGAACGGCCCCCCGCCAGAGGCCGTGCCAAGAAAAGGTACCAACGCCCAGCGGGCTACACTGGCAGCTCACGCGCTGCCCCTCGGCTCCCTGCCCAGGGCATGGGGCAGTGGGGCGGCAGGAGGACTCCGGAGGGCAGACCTAGGAGTGCCTGCCCGGCTGGCCAGTGCCTCTGGGATCGAGGGGAGCCTTTGCCCCCGGGCGCTGGCCCAGCCGGGCGGGGACCCCAGGGGACTCTGTTGTCCAACGCGCACCCTCTGCCCGTAGAGCGGAGTTCATCCAGGGGAAGCACGGGGTGGAGATCCTCTCCGAGCATGACCAGGGCAATGGGCGCATCCGCTTCTCCGTCACGCCCACGGAGCCGGCGACGACCAGCATCTGGGTTCAGAACAACGGCCAGGAGGCCGTCACGCTGCTGGGCTACCGGGCGCTGCGGAGGCAGCACGAGCTCACCTTCCACGACGAGGGCAAGGTGACCAAGCAGCAGCCCCGGGTGCTGGCGCCGGGTAAGGGTCCAGCGTCCCCCAGCAGGGCTCTCCCTAGGAACCAGCTGCCAGGCTCCAGCCCAGAGGTGGGCGCATGACAGTGGTGGGCCGGCAGCAGCGGGGGTTAACCGGTTAACCCTTCGGTCAGGTGGTTAGCCGGATTTTACAGCCCTGCCGTTCCCCCGCCTTTGGCTGCAGGGGACTCGTACGCGATCGAGGTGCGGTGCCTGACGCAGCTCTATGGCTACTTTCCCGCCACCCTGCTGTTCCAGTTCACCAAGGAGCCGGATGGGCCCTTCGCCATCGGGCGCTTCGTGTCGGCCGTAGCCAGCAGCCGGCTGGCTCAGGAGCTGGGGCCCTCGGCACCCTACAAGCCTTACCAGGCCAAGCTGAAGAAGTCGGTCACAGTGATCACCGAGGAGGGCTTCCCTCCCGACAGGTACGGGGGCTCCCGGCACCGCTGGCCGAAGGGAGGGGGTGCCGCCGAGGTCCAGGCCAAGCGTGCCCACTGGGCTAGTGTGAGCTGCTGGCCGGCACCGGCCTGGCCCTGCCCAGGCTCCTCGGCCGAGCCCAGGAACGTGTTCCAGTCCCACGGTGGAGAAGCCGCAGTGGCTGGGCTGGGTTTGCTGCCGTGATGGGTGCCAGCTCCCAGTGGTTCTGCGTCGGGGCGGTGACCTGGCCCCCTGCTACAGGCTAGAGACACCCGGGTCCCAGGAGCCAGCATGGGGATGCTCTGTGCCGCAGCCCCCCAGCTGGAGTCGGTCCCGGGAGTGACGTCTTCCCTGAGCTCCCACCAAAGTCCCCTGCCTCTTGCCTGCCTAGCACCCAGCCCCCCGAGACCGCCAAGCTTAAGCAGCTGATCCCGCTGGGCCACTACCGGTACCCGGAGAGCCTGAAGGACACGGTCGGCACCGCGCCCAGCAGCCTGCGGTGAGTGCTGGGGGACGGGCGGTTGCCCCGGGGGCCGGTGTCCCTCTACGGGCTTCCAGCCACGAGCGGTCGTATTGAGGTCCTGCGCTCTGCTTTGGGTGTGTCCCA